GAGGCTCCTCTCTCAGGAGAGGCCACACTAAGCTCACCCACCCACTCCTCTTTCTGAATTAGACCCATTGAAATCTGATATGAAATTCCTTCCAGCTATCCCAAAACATCACCAACAAGGCCTGCATACCTATGGATTGATATTAAACTCAGAACACCCCGTCCCCTAAAAAAAATTTATTCCAGAGCCTAACCAAAGTTAATGACGTCTACGTTTCCACCACCAGCCCCAACTCCAGTTTTGTTACCACTGTCAGAGTTGATGGCTCTCCTTATGACAAAGATTTAGAGAGGAAGGGACCGCAGAGCCTACAGAAGTACAGTTGAAATAATCCAATCAAGGAGGGCAAAGAGCTCCCCACCTATCTATTAGGCTGAATTTGAAAATTATTTAAAAATTTGCTGCTAATTAGATCCAAAGTCCTATGGCACCATCAATCATGGTTCAGTCAGCCCCGCAGCTCTTCAGTGTTGCTTTCTCACTTTCCCCTCTGCTGTGTTCTCCCTGCCTTCTCCCATCTCCTCTCCTCTTCAAGGTTCTTTGCCCTCCAGAGAACTCAAGACATGCACATCCCCAGAGCCCGTATACCCCCGAAAAGCAACCTAGAATTTTTCTCACAAGTCCAGACCAATTGCCTCAAACTCATCTGGAAAGACCAAAGATTGAAGGGGGGAAAACTTGAGAACTGCAAGCGGAGTTGTGACAGAGCTGAACACAACTACCCAGCCTCCAGAGGAAACCCTTTCCTTCAACAGCAGAGCCTTTGAAACCATATGACTCTACATATGGGCTACCCTCAGGAAATTAGCTGGGTAAGGGACAAGGGTGGGGGCAATAGAGCTGGGGCCACAAGGATGATGGAGAAGAGAAGCAACAAAGTGGTAAAAAACAAACAAAAGATCAAATGGCATCCCCAAAGGCAGGAAAGATAATGAAAGCACTGTGAAGTCCTGGACACCTAGCATATCTAGCTACACCTTATAAGGCTTCTTCACTGGCCATCAGTTCCCCAGGAATACCCTGGATCCCTGGGCATCCAAAAACCAGTGATCCCCAACCAGGAGACTTGGACTGTGGTTTCCAGGACCAAAGCAGAGAGAAAGCTTTTCAAAGCTGCGGGTGGGTGATGGGAAGGGGGTGGGGAATGGGCAGGACCTGTTGCTCACTTCGCTGAATAAGGATTTCCTTGTCTCCTTGGACACTTCATCCCAAATTCACTGGACCTCCAATTTGGAGGGAAGGGGGGTATTGGCCAGGGACGTGAGCAAGCTCTCCTCTGAAGGAGAAACTCTAGATATGGGCACCAAAGTACCTCATGACTTTACTAAGACTCTAGAATGAGAGTCTGTGAAGGGCCCATGCGGTGGCAAGACCCTGTGTGTGTCGAGGAGGCGGCGCGGGGAGGCGGGAGGAATATACGCTCGTGGGAACATACACACATACCGGCTCCTTTTTCGAGTAGACTACATTGTACTAACACAGTCCCTTTCCTGCTTCGGTGGCGCCTCCCCAACTCGATTCCCAATGCGCCCCTGCCGGCGCTGGCCGCCCCACTGCTGTGCTGCCTTGTCCCAGACACTGGGCTCCGTGCCAGGCCTTTCTGCATCTCCAGGGCACTCGCTGCCTCTCCCGCCCAGAGTGCCAGGTTTCCAGGTCTCGGTGACAGCCATTTCCCCTCCCCTTGGGCCTCCGGGATTCCCCGAGCCTGGTGCCCGCCTCACCGGCTCTCCATGGTCCCGCCGACGCCCTCTCGATGAACCTGCCCTGCTCCGCTGGGTTCTTCCCGGAAGGGTTGAGCTGCTGTCACTGGGGCTACCCGCACAGTTAACGCGCTATTTGAGGAGTGCTGGATCCTGTCTCCACCCCGGGAATCCCCAGCCAATGGCAGCCGAACACGCGGTTCCGCCCCATCTCCACGGTGACACACCCCTTTTCAATGGCGGGAGCTGGGCTCTAAACCTAATCTGAGTTCTTTCCAGCGCTGGATCCTTTCCCATGCCCAACACATCACCCACGACGCACAGACGGGTAAGGAGGGCATCCAGCATTTCTTCCCTGCATACATTCCGGTCCGCAGATCCCGGTTTTCAGGCAAGGAAACCTATGAGAAAAGGGCTAGAAGCCCGGAGGGGACTCCCCCAACCCCACCCATCTTTCTACAACCCCGTTTTCGGGTTGTGTCTGCAGCGAACCCTGAGAGATTTAAAAACAAAAATTTTAAACTTTAGATCGTGCAACCCCAGAATAAAATTAAGCCTGTGTCTGAGTTGCTTCCTGGACAAAGGAAACAGGGTCGACCTTAGCAACACTGCTGACCTGGAGGTTACAGGACTGTGGAGAAGAGGGGTCTATATCTAGGCCCAGATGGGGAGCAGAAAAATGATCTAGGCGATAGAATTAGTGGATCCTTCTAACTCACAAGGGGTGGGGCGATGTGACAGGAAAACACAGACATTCCCCTGTTTGCAACATGGGATCAAAACAATTCCTGATCCAAGCAATTCCCGGAACCGGAGCAGGACTCCTCCCAAGATAAAAAATTTTTGGAAACAGAATTACACAATGTGATGTTTTCGTAAGAGTTCAGCTATTTCCTCTCCCTACTTTTACCAGCTTAAAACTTCTATAACAGATGGACACTTTTTACATAAATTCAGCTATTTCCTCTCCCCACTTTTACAAGTTGAACCACCGTCACCTAAATTAACAAATCAATGGCCCTTGCTTAGCTATTGGAACCCAACACCTGTTTCCATTCTCCTAAACTCTAATTTTCCTGATTGCCATTTTAGCCATCACTATGGCCCAAGCCACTCTTTCCCAGCCCTGTTTCTATCTCATTTATGAAAGAAGTGTTAATTGAGAATCAGCTATATAGCAGAACTCTTCTAGTGCTGGGGACATAAGAATGAATGCCATATATATATATATATATATATATATATATATATATATATGGCATTCATTTGGCACTGGTCTTCGTGATATATATATATATATATATATTGAAATCAAGGAATGTAGCACAATCTAATGTTCAAATTGTGAGTTACATCGAGCTAAGTAGTTTTGCATGGTGTAGAAGAAATGTGACTATTGCTGTGTTTCCTTTAAAAAATTTAAATATCCCGTAGTGCCTTTGTAAAATTGCAATTTAGCACAGAGTTTGGGAACGCAAGTTGATAGCATCAGTAGTGCGGTGAGCCAAAAAAGGACCATGTTGGATGCTGAATCCAGGGAAGTTCTGACCAGCAAAAGTGAAGAGAAAGACTAGAGCCAGAATGGGAGCAACAGGGGAAAAGGGAGTGCTCCAAGAGAAGCTGACTGTGAGCCAACTTCACAGGTTCCCTGGGGCTGGCAGGACCTAATCAGCAGTGAAGTGGCTGGCAGCACATAAAGGAGTATTTGCCATTGCACTGTGAGAATAGAGTGAAGGAGAGTATTGAGCCATTAATTACAGAAAATATTAGAGTAGAGGAGAGAGGGAAATCAAGAGGAAATATAATTAGGGCTTAACAAGGAACTAGCAACAATGGAATAGAAGGAACAGAAATGAAGATCCATGAACTGATTCAGAAATTCAGGATAGGGCCGGCTGAGTGGCGCGTTGGTTAAGAGCTGGCTTGGGATGCCAGAGGGCCCCGGTTCGGATCCCACATATGAGGGCCAGTGACACTGCCCTCT